GTCCAGTGTGAGTCATGAGTTTTTCTTTTCCGGACAGGAACATCAGAGATCTAGAGAAAATTTAGAGAGGACACATCAACTCTGTTGTGTTGAACTGTTGCATTTGTCCGGTCAAGGTTCCAGGACACTTGTGATCTGGCTTGGCGGTGGTTGCCCCTCAACTTTTGCTTGTCAAATGCAGACTCTGACTGAGCCTGATTGTGGAAATCACATGATGTCATGGCTTTTGGGTTTGAATCAGTTCCAGATCATAGGACGCCTCGTCAATGTCAAACTTGTACGCCTACATTTTGGAAGTCTATCTATACAACTCATGCCAGTGTGGTCCTGGGTAGAGTGGTTCGGGATATGATTGCACGCGCTTCAACTGTCCAAGCGCTTATTGACATGCTGTCTACGTTCTTTTGACAGATAAGGCTGCAACACAGATTTACATTGATCCCCTTATTCTCTTCAAAAGCACATGGAGGGTCATCGAACACTCCGACGCTGCCTAAACCTGACAATTTTGCGGAAGCATTCAAACCCTGAGCCGTGGAAGCTAAAGGCCCAAGGAACTTGGCCAATCCCAATGTTTAATGCAACGCTGCTACAGCACATTTGAACAGATCCAAGAAAATCGAATGTCTCACTGCAGAGTTGCAGGCCGGTATGCCCAGAGTGGTGCTGCGCGGCTGTACAGTAGGCGGTTCAGGTTACCTGAAGGTTTCCCCTCGCCACCCGAGCGTGGGAAGGCTAAGGTTCGCCTTGGTCCAAACCTCGGTAGGTTTACGAGAGCGACAAAGGTGCCAGCAGGATGCGACGTGACACGGTGAAATCGTTGAACATCACGGTAATCTGAGACAGTGTCAAGCCATGTGATGCTGAACCAGTGTCAGGTGAAAGCAAATCTGAAAGGATCTGTGGTTTCTCATGTGAGGTTCAGATTCACCAACTCGTAGAGATCCAATGTGGTTTACAGTACTGTCACTGTCGCTTCCCCCAAAAGCGCAAGTCCATCTCCGAAAAGGGCATAAGGGGCTTAACAGCATCATACCATCGCAGTTTGCCCGACCCCCTGTGTTGTGTTCTGACATCATTCTATCGCGTTAATGAAATTAATTCAATTAATTAATTCAATTCAATGCAATTCATGTTAATTCATATTTATATTGATACTCACATCACACGATATGACGATATCATTCATAGTTTCGCAGCCGCCTTTTTCACAATGCGCCCATGGCGCGAAAGGCCAAACAGAAGGCCAAGGCCTCTGAGGCCCCCCGATCTCGGGCCTTCGTTGCATGTCACCAAGCCGAAACTGGTCACGCTGGTCATGGCCCAGTCTTGGGGCATCCGGAACAGGCAGAACGGGTGAGAGCTTGTGGCGATCGTCTCCGTGCCAATAAATCACTTTGGTCGTTGCTGAAGAAGCTCCCAGCAAGGAGAGCTACTGACTCTGAGCTGCAACTGGCTCATGATGAGAGCCATATAAAAGGCCTTACCAAGTTAGCAGATTTGGCTGCCACTGGAAAGACACAATTCGTCCCACACGGCCCCATGTGCATGAACGGACCAAGATCCGAAGTTCGAGTTGATGAAGGCGATTCATCTGATGATACGTATGTGACCTCTGGAAGCCTGGAAGCTGCCCGATTTGCCGCGGGAGGCATACTACAAGGGGTTGATGAGATGTTGATGGAGGACGGCTTGCAACGCGGTCTGGTTTTGTGTCGTCCTCCAGGGCATCACGCGAGCAGAGCACGTTCCTCGGGATTTTGTTTGGTGAACAATGTTGCTATAGCAGCAGCTTATGCACTGAGCTGTGAAGGCATCGAACGTGTTTTGATTTTTGACTGGGACGTTCATCACGGTCAAGGAACTCAGCAAATTTTCGAGCAATCAGACGAAGTGCTCTTCATCAGTTTTCACCGACATGATGGTCAGTCATTTTACCCAGCGACAGGAAGTCCCTTTGAGATTGGCTGTGGACATGGAAAAGGTCTCACAGTGAATGTTGCCTTACCTCAGGGTTTTGAGGATCTTGCCTTGTGGAGCGCATGTGCACAGGTGTTGGTTCCCAGCACCAGAAGCTTCAAACCAGACCTGATCCTGATCAGTGCAGGATTTGATGCCGCCGCAGGTGACCCCTTGGGCGGATGTTCTGTAACTCCACAACTCTTCGGCCTTCTCACCCGCGAAATATTGAAACTCTCCACAGAGACTGCACATGGACGAGTACTGCTTGCACTTGAAGGTGGTTATAATGTTGATGTGCTGGCAGAATGCGTTGAAGATGTCATGACTGCACTGGTGGATGAGGCGCGGGCAGGATGGCAACGAGTTGGCAAAAGATGCAAAAAGTGCAAAGTTGATCTATCGACATCTATCTTGATCTATATAACTCTATTTTGATTCTTGAGTTGTGCAAACATTGAACAGCACAAAGGTGGATCTCGGAACTGCTCCGTTTGCAAGCGCACCAGACTGGCTGAAGGCGGCGATTCGCTTCAATTTCTGATGCTGATTGTGTTGTGAATGTACGCGGGCTTGATCCGGCCAGGGCAAGTCTTGCCAGGGCCCTATCCGAAAGACTTGCGAGGTACACAAGGCCCTGCATTCGGTGAACTTCCGGAGAGGTTGAAGTTGAAGGGCAAAGAACAGATAGAACTGATAGAACAGGTACATAATGGTACATAATGGTACATACAGGTACTGTACTTGATAGATCTTGACAGTAGTTAGTAGAGATGCAGGCTGTCGGACCGTCGGACCTACACTCAGACATTGAGCCTGGCAGGATGGCCTTTACTGTATGGAAGTATTCCACACTGTTTGACAAAATTGCGCAATATGTTTTGTCATATGCTGCCTATGCTACTGTATTTGGTGCAAAGTTTATAGCCTTTTAAACTTAGAACCGTCATGAACCGTCAAAGTGTTTCTTGAGGAAGGTAGCGAGGGGACATGTCCAGCAATCCGTTGAATCCTGGCTGAAACGGTTTGAGACGTGCCTCACTGCAAGGGACCACCACTCCGGCTGCCCATGCCGCTATCCAAAGCTGAAAGGAGGCGGTCATCAGAGTTGGAGATGGAGGCGTGGATGGTGAAATACACATCACAGATATCACAGGTCTCCCAAGATGGTTTTGTGATGTTTTGTGTGTTTCAACTTGCCCTGGCAAAGGCCTCAAAGCGCTCTATGTCAAAAGACATAAAAGAAATGGACTCTCAAAGCGCTGAAAGCGCTCAAAGTGCAAATCTTGGGCTCTGAGTTTCACATGGTTCACATTGTTTCACTGTCCCATTCAACTCTCCTGGTGCACTCAGAGAACTGGCTTGACCGCCCAAGGTGACGTTGAAGTGAGCGCTGTGAGCAAAGACACTGAGCTGACGACTGATAGAAAGCTCACTTCAGAGGATTTGTCAGCGACTGTGCAGGCCAGCTGTTGGACAATTGACTTTACAGCTGCGAGTCAATAATACATGGGGTGCCATTGTGCTATTGGATCGTAAACGTCATAGCACGGCAATGAGTATGATATCAAAGATTATCAAAGTGTACCAATCCCATCCAATCCCACCAAAGACCAATTGAGATGCAAAAAGGCACCCAACCTCTTTGATTCCAAAGGTTGTAAGGCTCTTTGATTCCAAATCTCCGACCGAAGTCTGCTGGAGGTCGCCGAAGGTAGACTCAAGGCAAGATCTCCCCCGTGCATCCGTTGCCAGTCCGTTGCCTGTACACCAATTTAGCATTTGGATGCATTTGGGCACTAGACATAGCTAGACCCAAGAAAGAAGCCTTAGATTCTCTGCAAGTGTCACAACAGATGTTTCAGCAAGTTTCAGCAAGATCTCTCGTGTGATGATTCGGAGGTCACGATTTCACCGATCGCAAGACCTCGTGATGTTTTTGTGTCTCCTGATGAGATTCGAGCATCAGACCCAGCAAACTATGACATGAGGAAAGCCATTGATATGGGTATGGGTCAATACCTATAGATACATTTTAGTGGGATGAACATCCATTTACCAGCTATTTTGGGGTTCACTATGGGTTCACTAGGTACCAGGGTTTTGACCCATCTCCATATCGATGAGAAGAACATCCAGAAGTTTAATTAGGACAAGGGTCTAAGTCTAAGATGCGCTTTGTCAAGGTCTGGCTACCAGCAACCCCAGAGGCAGAGTTGATTCAGTGGCTTTGTTGCAATAGCAGACGGAAGTTGTGCTAAATTCTGCTGGATAGACAGTGGCGGCGGTTGATGGTGTGGCTGGAGCCTAATGGAACAGCAATTGTCAGCAACATTGTATTCAGAAACTTGAGGTCTTCCAAACCCCTGTTGGTTGATGATTATATTATAGATAGGGGATGATAGGGGATTATATAATACCCAATATATAATATATATATATATCCCAATATATTGGGGATCCTCGCAATCCATACTATGAGAATCCCTAGCAACCAACCAGTTTTTGGGGGATGAGGAATGCACAGATTTCATCCATACCTTCTGCCTGTTGAATACACAAAGTGCACTGCAGGTGGGAGCTCAAAGGACTACTTGTGGAGGATCTTCCATTGCCATGTGCAAAGTACATTGAAGCCAGGCGCAGTACAGCACGAGAGTATTGCGATGTCCAGATGTCCAGCAGCTTTATAATCTTTATACATTTCTTATGAGATCCCGTAGCAGTTTCCATTCCAGCATATTCCGGCAGTGTTGCTGGCAATAGTATTTGGAAAGCACCGGCACCATGGCAGGCGGCAGCTACTCTTGCGCCTTCCATTGGGTCGTATTTTGGGAGGGCCCATTAAATTGAATAGAATCGCTTCTAATAAAAAACAGCAGTATCAAAATATATCAAAATAGATATTCAAAAAGATAATCAAAATATGATAAAATATGTATCAAAATTTCAAATACGAATAGATGAATTAGTATTTATAGCTATTACATGCTATTACTGGGACTATATTTTTGGACCCTGCCTGTTACCTCCTTTTTCGGACCTTGCAATAGTTGTTTATATTATGTTTGGACCTGAAAAATGTGGCAATGATACATTGCAATAGACATGTATAGACCTTTGAGAGGTAATTTTCCTGGACCGGACCTCTATTTACTTGTGATAATTGGTTTCGGAAATTCTAAAAACAAAAAATATAATCTTGGATCCCCCTTAGAATTTCCTCTACAGAATCAGGACAGTTAAGCTGGGGAAAATGGTGCGTTTTAACCCCCTGCTTTGTTTAGGGGTACCTACCCAGCGTCAACGCTTGCAATTTATATAGAGGACCTTGGGGTCTCTGATTCTATAGAGATTCCATGTTGAATACAGCACTGAGTACTAGTCAGCAGAGAGTCTTAGGTCAGCTGTCAATGAATGATACTTGGGGAATCTGATTTTATAGAAGGCCAACTAACCCCACCAACCTAAAAAAAGGCTCTACGAGAGTGACTTGGTGTCAGCAATTCTATAGAAAATGATGCTCATAAACAACCTCAGTGACATCAATTCTATAGAGATTGTCAATTTGAAAATACCTTGGGGTCTCTGATTCTATAGATGTATTTTCAAAAAAGGGTCAACGTCTCCAAAATTATCACTATAAAATTGTTGATACCAACACTCTTACTTAATTTTAGAATTTGATTTCTCTTTTTTCGAAACCCTCATATTTTTTACAAATCTTATTATTACGGAATTAAACAAATAAAAAAAAAAAATATAATACAATTACATAATTTATATGAGATACGGTCAAAATAAGCGTAGATTAGTTTAGTAAGGGAGGGTCCAATCGTGTTGAGAAAATGCACCAAACCATGTAAAACGATAGGGCCCCTCCCAAAAAGCGATAACTTGTAACCATCTATGGGCAAAATTGATGAAAATTTAACCTGCAGTGCCCGCGTTTCTTGCAGTTGCCATTTCATTTGCTGTCCAAGGTGATTGAGCCATTGCTTTCTGCAGGCAGATTGCTTTTATCTTCCTAGGTCCCAAAGCAGTAGAATTAAACCAAATTAAACGCAACCAAATTCTGAATTAAGCAAACAATAGATTGAAATCTAATTCTGAATGCCCTTTGTATGTTTAGATTTAATTCGAATTGCATCTTTGTTTTTTTTCTTTTTCTTTTTTTTTGTTCCTTTTTTTTCAGTTAAAACTAAACACAATTGAATTCTGAACCAAATTAACTCTGATTACGAATCTTGTTTTGAATTCCATCTATTCCATGTTTGATTTGTCGTTTCTTCTTCCTTTGTTTCCTTTTCTTGTTCCTTCCTTTCTCCTGTTTTTTTAATTGTTCTTTTTGTTCTACGTTCCTCTTTCCTTTCCTTTCTTGATCGTCAAAGTGTTCCAATTTAGCGATAATCTTAGCGATAATCTAGCGATAACCTTTTGTTGAAAAAGGGAACCCGGAGGAGGGATAGACTCATTTGATCCCAAGAAGAAGAAGGGCTTAACAAAAAAATGAACAGGTTCTCGACACCAGGCCACCACGTTGTATTCAGACTTGGGAGCCTAATGCACTTCTTCATAGCTACAAACACTTCTTTTTTGGAATTATTGGTCTATATTATATTAACTACGGTCTTTCTAGTTCGGAGATGAGATTGTAACAGATTTCCTTGCTTAGGCAAAAATCTAGGAATGTGCTTAGATAGCTCCCCAACATGGTTACAAACACAGACAACAAAAGACCCTTAATCCATCCCCGACAATTTAGATTGAATCCGTGAAGCTAATTCCCGTGCATTTTTGCAATATTTCGTAAGGATTTGAACAAAATATTGGAAAACGATAGGGCCCCCCAAAGAGCGATAACTTATATTTTTGTACCAAATATAAACAATTGATTTTGACGACGACTCATATATTAAAAACATACAAACAATTGATATCCGACATAATTAAATTATATTGAATTAAATATAAATCATATATTTAAATTATTTTTGAAATTTAAATTAAATATATAATATATTGGGAAATACATGGAAATATATTATATATATTATTTATT